GTGTAGTTTATTCTCATTCCTTGCTCCTCTCGTGTCAGCACTGGCGGTAAAAAATGACTCGAGTAGATTGAATTGTTTTTCTATCTATATCTCTGTCAGCTAGGGAAAAAAAGTAGACAGGATATTTTTTTTTTATTCCTAATTGTTAAGAAAATATAGGTTAGGTAGATCTATTTTTTTTTCCTATTAGCTTTCAATGATAAATAGGTTATATTGACTTTTTAAATATATATATAAGATCCTTAAACTTATATTATAATATTTAAGTCTTTTTCGTCATTTTTGTCATCGATATATTTCACTAACTGACTTTTTTTTTATTTATTTTATTCATAGCTAAAAAAAAAGTTAAAAATCTGTGTCAAAAAAGTTGGTTTGGGAAGTGTGTTTTTATTGTTTTTTTGTGTTTTTATTGAGTTTGGTATGTCTATAGCCTTTACTGACTGGCTGACTGACTGACTGACTGACTGACTGACTGACTGACTTAGTGAGTTTGTGACTGACTGAGTGATTGTCTGACTGATTATTGACATAGTGATGGGAGCATTCATTCACACACAAACCGCTTACTGCACACACCCCTCCCTCACACACCCCTCACACGCACCCCACACGCCCCACACGCACCCCACACACCCCCACACGCACCCCACACCCCACACACCCCCCACACACACCCTGATACAGCCTTTGGTGACCATACTGACCCTCTGAATGAAGGCATTAACAGGACAAAAGCCTAAATGTCTTCCTTCATTCATAAGCTAAATGAATACCTCTGTCAAACCAGTGTAGTTGACTCGTTAGGGTTAGTTAGGTTAGGTTAGGTTAGGTTAGGTTAGGTTAGGTTAGGTTAGACAAGTAACAGTCCATTGAGAACACTGCCCAGAACACCTCATTACTCAACCCAACCTAATCCTGACCTGACCTGACCTGACCTAATTTAACCTAACCTAACCTAACCTAACCTAACCTAACCTAACCTAACCTAACCTAACCTAACCTAACCTAACCTAACCTAATCTAATTTACTACAACATTTATCCCAAGTGACCTGCCGCTCTGTACTGTACTGCTCAGGCTTAGACGCTGATTGAAGTGCCACTCTACTGTCACGTGTGTTCTGGTCTGGTTAAGGGCTGGGCTGGGCTGGGCTGGCTCTGGGCTGGCTGGTTAAGGGCTGGGCTGGGCTGGGATGGGCTGGGCTGGGCTGGTCTGGGCTGGGCTGGTCTGGTCTGGGCTGGGCTGGGCTGGTCTGGGCTGGGCTGGTCTGGTCTGGGCTGGGCTGGGCTGGGCTGGTCTGGGCTGGCTGGTTCGGGCTGGGCTGGTCTATTAGTACCAGGAATTTCGAAAGAGAGAGAGAGAGAGAGAGAGAGAGAGAGAGAGAGAGCATCATCATCAAGTCCCCTTCTACACAGTTAATCTCAACTTGGGTCCTGGACACAAAAGGCTCCAATACGTAAGCTTTATCTGCCCAACTTGGAATATGAGAACCTTGCACTTTCTACAGTCTGGCGGCACTAGAGACCCTATTCTGTCCGCCATTACAACACCTCAGCTTAATCTCAAACCAATTACATGTCTCCTGTCACATCTCCAGCGTTTAAGGAGGAGAGGGAGGGAGAGAAGGAGGGAAGGGAGAGAAGGAGGAAGGGAGTGAGAGATAGAGAGAGAGAGAGGATGAATAGGTAAATAAAACCAGGTATACTAACTCAACCTTTAATAACTCCCGACATAAGATCTAATATAACCTGGCTGACCTGCTCCGTTAGGTGGGATACATGCCTAATACTGATACGTATATATGTGTGCGTGTATGTATTCCTGCTCACACACACACACACACACACACACACACACACACACACACACACACACACACACACACGATCTTGTTTGCCTCTTCCTTGTTTATATCTATATTGTTATTTATTTATTTTATTTATTTCACCTTTACTGTTATCACTTTGGGGTTGTAGGTTAGTTAGTGTTATGTTGGGTTAGTTAGTGTTAGTGTTAGAGTTTAGTAAGGTTAGGTTAGGTTAGTGGTTAGGTTGAGGAGGTTAGGTTAGGTTAGGTTAGGTTAGTGTTAGGTTAGTGTATAGTTAGGTTAGTGTTGGGTTACGTTAGGTTAGGTTAGGTTAGTGTTAGGTTAGGTTAGTGTTAGGTTAGTGTTGCAGTGTTAGGTTAGGTTAGGTTAGAGGGAGAGCTGTTAGGTATAGCTGTATTGAACTGAATTTTTTCACGACAAGAGAAGATTGATGTGAGAGTGAGGGGGTAATCTCTCTCTCTCTCTCTCTCTCTCTCTCTCTCTCCTCTCAATAACCCGAAGTATATACCCTCGGCCAGTATTATCAGCACACCTTATCTTAATCATCTCATTTCTATAAACGTGAAATAAGGAAAACACATTTTGGTCTACCTATAGCATGGAAACCAAGATGGCGGATAAGGAGCGTCGAGACTAGAGGACTAACTAAAGACAGGTTGTGTAATATTAAGTTAAGTGGGATAATAACAACAACAACAACAACAATAACAACAATAACAATAATAACAACAACAACAACAACAACAACAACAACAACAACAATAACAACAACAACAACAAAATAACAACAATAGCAATAATAACAATAACAATAACAACAACAACAACAACAACAACAACAATAACAACAACAACAACAATAACAATAACAAATAAACAACAATAACAACAACAACAACAACAACAATAATAGGATTCCTTTGTGCCTCTCATCCCTGACCAAGATGAAGAGTTCAATCAAGGAGGCTGTTGAGATCCTGGGGCCTGGAGGATGGGGAGGAAGGGGCATTAGAGGGGAGGAGGAAGAGGAGGGAGTAGAGGGAGGGAAGAGGAGGGGAGATTAGGAGGGGAGGAAGAGGAGGGAGCATTAGAGGGCAGGGAAGAGGAGGAGAGCATTAGAGGGGCAGGGAAGAGGGAGGAGAGCATTAGAGGGGAGGGAAGAGGGAGCATTAGAGGGGGAGGGAAGAGGAGGGGAGGATTAGAGGGGAGGAAGAGGAGGGGAGCATTAGAGGGGGAGGGAAGAGGAGGAGAGCATTAGAGGGGAGGGAAGAGGAGGGGAGCATTAGAGGGAGGAAGAGGAGGGAGGATTAGAGGGGAGGGAAGAGGAGGGGCATTAGAGGGGAGGGAAGAGGAGGGAGCATTAGAGGGGAGGGAAGAGAGGGGAGCATTAGAAGGGAGGGAAGAGGAGGGAGCATTAGAGGGGGAGGGAGAGGCTCGGTTATCTGAGGAGGAGGGGTTCACCGCCCTCACCCCCCCACCCCCCACCCCCTTAATCCAACGCAGGTAGATGATTGGTTGAGAACGACAGGTATACAGGAAATCGGACAGGTAAATGAATGTAAACAAAGAGAGGTGATTACCTGTCATTAGTGGGGTGCCCTGTCTGCCCTGAAGCTTTATAGAAAATGGGGTGTGGTAGAGAGAAAATGGGTGGTAGAGTGAAAATGGGGTGTGGTAGAGAGAAAATGGGTGTGGTAGAGAGAAATGGGGTGTGGTGAGAGAAAATGGGGTGTGGTAAAGAAAAAATGGGGTGGTAGAGAGAAATGGGGTGGTAGAGAGAAATGGGTGGTAGAGAGAAAATGGGGTGTGGTAGAGTGAAATGGGGTGTGGTAGAGAGAAATGGGGGTGTGGTAGAGTGAAAATGGGTGGTAGAGAGAAAATGAGACACAAATTGTGGTTAAAGTGTGAAGAGGTGCGTGAAGGAGGAGGGGTGAGAGAGAGAGAGAGAGAGAGAGAGAGAGAGAGAGAGAGAGAGAGTCAGGTCTTGTGATATTGGAGATGACTTGAAACTTTTACGTATTCACAGTAAGGGAAGAGTAATTACGTCATTTGATAAGAGCAGGGAGGTCCGCTGATCTGATTGGCTAAGAGTAGGGAGGTCCGCTGATCTGATTGGCTAAGAGCAGGGAGGTCCGCTGATCTGATTGGCTAAGAGCAGGGAGGTCCGCTGATCTGATTGGCTAAGAGTAGGGAGGTCCGCGGATCTGATTGGCTAAGAGCAGGAGGTCCGCTGATCTGATTGGCTAAGAGCAGGGTGGTCCGGATCTGATTGGCTAAGCAGGGAGGTCCGCGGATCTGATTGGCTAAGAGCAGGGAGGTCCACGGATCTGATTGCAAGAGCAGGGGTGGTCCGATCTGATTGGCTAAGAGCAGGAAGGTCCGCGGATCTGATTGGCTAGAGGAGGTCCACGGACTGATTAAGAGCAGGGTGGTCCGCTGATCTGATTGGCTAAGAGCAGGAAGGTCCGCGGATCTGATTGGCTAAGAGCAGGAAGGTCCGCGGATCTGATTGGCTAAGAGCAGGAAGGTCCGCGGATCTGATTGGCTAAGAGCTCAAACCCTAGTCAGAACAGGGCAAATGTTCGGGCTAAACAATATGTATTTTATGTAAGTTTGGCAATATTCTAAACCTAACCTAACCTAAACCTACCCTAAACCCAACCTAACCTAACCTACCCTAAACCCAATCTGACATAACCTACCCTAAACCCAACCTAACCTAACCTAAACCTAATCTGACATAACCTAACCTAAACCCAAACCTAACCTAACCCAACCCAAACCTAACCCAACCTAACCTAACCCACCTAAACCCAATCTGACATAACCTAACTTAAACCTAACCCAACCTAACCCAACCCAAACCTAATCTGACATAACCCAACTTAAACCTAACCTAACCCAACCTAAACCTAATCTGACATAACCTAACTTAAACCTAACCTTACCTAACCTAACCTAAACCTAACTGACATAACCTACCCTAAACCCAACCTAACCTAACCTAACCTAAACCTAACCCAACCTAACCTAACCTACCCTAAACCTAATCTGACCTAACCTAACCTAAACCTAACCTAACCCAACCTAACCTAAACCTAATCTGACCTAACCTAACTTAAACCTAACCCAACCACATTATAATGTGTGTTTTGTGTTGTTTTAACAGAGTGGTTCCCCGGCTGGAGTGACCAGGTGGTTATAATGCCCAGCCATCTGACGACGGTCTGGGGAGGAAGACTGTGTGGAGCTGCGGCGGAGCTTTATGTGAGTGTTGTGTTGTGTTGTGTTGTGTGTTGTGTTGTGGGTTGTGCTGTGTTGTGTTGTGTTGTGTTGTGCTGTGTTGTGTTGTGGTTGTGTTGTGTTGTGTTGTGTTGTGTTGTGTGTTGGCGTTGTGTTGTGTTGTGCTGTGCTGTTGTGTTGTGTTGTGTTGTGTTGTGTTGTGTTGTGTTGTGTTGTGTTGTGGTGTGTTGTGTTGTGTTGTGTTGTGTTGTTGGTTGTGTTGTGTTGTGTTGTGTTGTGTTGTGCTGTGTTGTGTTGTGTTGTGTTGTGTTGTGTTGTGCGTGTTGTGTTGTGGTGTGGTGTGTTGTGTCAGGTTGTGCTGTGTTGTGTTGTGCTGTGCTGTGTTGTGTTGTGTTGTGTTGTGGTTGTGTTGTGTTGTGTTGTGTTGTGTTGAGCTGTGTTGTGTTGTGTTGTGTTGAGCTGTGTTGTGTTGTGTTGTGTTGTGTTGTTGTGCTGTGTTGTGTTGTGTTGTGTTGTGTTGTGTTGTGTTGTGTTGTGTTGTGTTGTGTTGTGTTGTGGTGTGTTGTGTTGTGTTGTGCTGTGTTGTGTTGTGTTGTGTTGTGTTGTGTTGTGTTGTGTTGTGCTGTGTTGTGTTGTGTTGTGTTGTGCTGTGTTGTGTTGTGTTGTGTTGTGTTGTGTTGTGTTGTGTTGAGCTGTGTTGTGTTGTGTTGTGTTGTGCTGTGTTGTGTTGTGTTGTGTTGAGCTGTGTTGTGTTGTGTTGTATTGTGTTGTGTTGTATTGTGTTGTGTTGTGTTGTGTTGTGTTGAGCTGTGTTGTGTTGGGTTGTGCTGGTTGTGTAGGTTGTGTTGTGTTGTGCTGTGCTGTGTTGTGTTGTGTTGTGTTGAGCTGTGTTGTGTTGTGCTGTGTTGTGTTGTGTTGTGTTGTGTTGTTGTGTTGTGTTGTGTTGTGTTGAGCTGTGTTGTGTTGTGTTGTGTTGTGTTGTGTTGTATTGAGCTGTGTTGTGTTGTGTTGTGTTGTGTTGTGTTGTGTTGTGTTGAGCTGTGTAGGTTGTGTTGTGTTGTGTTGTGTTGTGTTGTTTCTGTGTTGTGTTGTGTTGTGTTGTGTTGTGTTGTGTTGAGCTGGTTGTGTTGTATTGTGTTGTGTTGTGTTGTGTTGTGTTGTGTTGTGTTGAGCTGTGTTGTGTTGTATTGTGTTGTGTTGTGTTGTATTGTGTTGTTGTGTTGTGTTGAGCTGTGTTGTGTTGTGTTGTGTTGTGTTGTGTTGTGTTGTGTTGTGCTGAGCTGTGTTGTGTTGTGTTGTGTTGTGTTGTGTTGTGGTTGTGTTGAGCTGTGTTGTGTTGGGTTGTGCTGTGTTGTGTTGTGTTGTGTTGTGTTGTGCTGTGCTGTGTTGTGTTGTGTTGTGTTGAGCTGTGTTGTGTTGTGCTGTGTTGTGTTGTGTTGTGTTGTGTTGAGCTTGTGTTGTGTTGTGTTGTGTTGTAGGTTGTGTTGTGTTGTGTGTTGAGCTGTGTTGTGTTGGGTTGTGCTGTGTTGTGTTGTGTTGTGTTGTGTTGTGCTTGTGCTGTGTTAGGTTGTGTTGTGTTGATGCTGTGTTGTGTTGTGCTGTGTTGTGTTGTGCTGTGTTGTGTTGTGTTGTGTTGAGCTGTGTTGTGTTGTGTTGTGTTGTATTGTGTTGTGTTGTGTTGTGTTGTGTTGAGCTGTGTTGTGTTGGGTTGTGCTGTGTTGTGTTGTGTTGAGCTGTGTTGTGTTGTGTTGTGTTGTGCTGTGTTTGTTGTGTTGTGTTGTGTTGTGTTGTGTTGTGTTGTGTTGTGTTGAGCTAGTGTTGTGTTGTGTTGTGTTGTGCTGTGTTGTGTTGTGTTGTGTTGAGCTGTGTTGTGTTGTGTTGTGTTGTATTGTGTTGTGTTGTGTTGTGTTGTGTTGAGCTGTGTTGTGTTGTTGAGCTGTGTTGTGTGTGGTTGTGTTGAGCTGTGTTGTGTTGTGTTGAGCTGTGTTGTGTTGTGTGTTGTGCTGTGTTGTGTTGTGTTGTGTTGTGTTGTGTTGTGTTGTGTTGTGTTGTGTTGAGCTGTGTTGTGTTGTGTTGTGTTGTGTTGTGCTGTGTTGTGTTGTGTTGTGTTGAGCTGTGTTGTGTTGTGTTGTGTTGTATTGTGTTGTGTTGTGTTGTGTTGTGTTGAGCTGTGTTGTGTTGGGTTGTGCTGTGTTGTGTTGTGTTGAGCTGTGTTGTGTTGTATTGTGTTGTGTGTTGTGTTGTGTTGTTGTGTTGAGCTGTGTTGTGTTGTATTGTGTTGTGTTGTGTTGTATTGTGTTGTGTTGTATTGTGTTGACGTTGTGTTGTGTTGTGTTGTGTTGTGTTGTGTTGTGTTGGTATTGAGCTGTGGTTGTGTTATGTTGTGTTGTGTTGTGTTGTGTTGTGTTGTGTTGTGTTGTGTTGTG